ACGTCAGGACCATATGCGTTGAGTAATGACTTACTGCCCTGGTGCCCGCTAATCAGTCAGTGGAGATCACCACAACCTTAAAAGGGCATACCAGGAAAACTGCTGAATATTCTACTGAGATCTTCTCCTGGGACCTCCCCTAAAATGTCCACCCTTAAAACCTCTAGGACAGAGGACCCAGAGCACTCTTCTCCCCTCCCCCCACAACCAACTCTCCCAGGACTTTTCCCCTCCACCTGCCCCCAGGCCTGTTACCTTTAGCTTCCTCACTCTGAAGCTCCAAGGGCCCTTCCTTTACCTGTATAGCTTGTTTCCTAAGCCCATTTTTTCTAGGAATTACTTCTTCTACCTGTATGATTTACCAAATCAATGTTCTCTTACAGTGTGGGTCTTGGCTCTGAATTCTTTCCTAGCCAGAACTGAAGTACCGAAGTTGCTGACCCAGGTCCCATCTGACTTCACAGGTCAGACACCTGGTGCTCTTCCCACTGCCTACAACAAGAGGAATTGTATGGTTTTCACAAAATGATTAAAGGCAGCTAAAAACATGCATGTCATATTAAGAAGATAAAGTTAAAACCATTTTTTAAAAATGAAGCATACAAAAATAAAATTAAGCAATTTAAGTGGCATCAGCAGTGGGAATAACTTATAAAATATATGTGATGGAACCCTAAACACTTTCTACATTTGTACTACATGCTTGAGTCTGAATTTTCTGGCTGTTCTCTCAAAGAGGGATACATAGCAAGTCAGCAAACCAACAGTGTCCATCCATAAAGTTAAAAACAAATAAGCAGTTTTGTGATTCCTCAAAAAGTTAAATATAGAATTGCTATATAATCTGTAATTCTTAGGAATATACCCTAAATAATTGAAAACAGGTATTGAGATACCTGTAGCCCAATGTTCATAATAGCATTATTCACCTTAATCAAAAGGTGAAAACAACCAAAATGTCTATCAATGGATTAATAAATAAAATATTATTCAGCAAAAGAAGTAAATACTACACATGCTACAACATGGATGAACTTACGCTAAGTGAAAGGAGTCAGAAAAGAAGGTCACATATGGTATGATTCCATTTACAAGAAATATCCAGAATAGTTAAATCCATAGAGACAGAAAGTAGATTAGTGGTTGCTAGGGTCTGGAGAGAGGGAGAACTAGGGAAGGACTGCTTAATCGGTACAAGATCTACTTTGGCAGTGATGAAAAATGTTTTGGAACCAGAAAGAGGTGATAGTTGTCCAACATTGTAAATGTACTAAATACCGCTGATTGTACACTTTAAAATGGTTAATTTGATGCCATGTGAATTTCGCCACCATTAAAAAGAAAATGAAGCAAAAACAAAACAAAAAACAAATGAGTTGTTGGAAAAGTGCAACTATTTCTAATATTGAGACCAGAAAGAATATTGTTTAAGGAAATGAACCCTCAGCAATATATTTATTTGAACACCTTAAGTTTCATATCATTTTTTAGAAGGTCCTTCAATGTAAGCTGATGTCATAACTATAAACGGCAACATGGGGAAAGGTATGTTACTGGGAACCAGAGTGAGTGTGGTGTTAGTAATATGGCTCAAGCTACACTGGTCTCTGGAGAGCAGGCTTAAGAGAGATAAAATTAAAAACATCTAGAGCAGTGGTTCTCAATCTTCCTAATGCCGTGACCCTTTAATACAGTTCCTCATGTTGTGGTGACCCCCAATTTCATCCTTACAAATTGAACATAATTAAAGCATAGTGATTAATCACAAAAACAATATTGAATTATATATGTGTTTTCCGATGGTCTTAGGCGACCCTGTGAAAGGGTCGTTTGACTCCCAAAGGGGTCGCGACCCATAGGTTGAGAACCGCTGATCTAGAGGGATGCCTGACCGGCATGACTGAGTGGTTGAGTGTTGACCTATGAACCAAAGGTCATCAGCTCGATTCCCTGTCAGGGCACATACCCAGGTGGCCAGGTTGGAAGTGTGCAGGGGGGGGGGGGGGGGCCCTGCAGGAGGCAGCCAATCAATGATTCTCTCTCATCATTGATGTTTCTATCTCTCTCTCCCTCTCCTTTTCTATGTGAAATCAATAAAAAAAAAATTTTTTTTTTTTAAAAGATTGTTCTCTTAAAAAAGAAAATCTAGAGGGAAAGATGGACTGTCAATCCTTCTGGAAATCATCATAAATGTTTCCCTTAGTCAAATTTTTGGAAGCAGGAGTGAAATTGAAATTGCATTCCCTGTCAATATGTGGTTGCAGATTGCCCATGTAGAGTCTCATGCTTTAAAAGTTAGCCAATCTGCAAGTAGGAGTAAGATCCACTGGTAAATGTGGAGAATGTTGGAAGTGAGTAGTGAAAATGCTGAGGCAGTGAAAGTTCTGAGAAAGTGTCAGATCTGATCAAAAACATCCAAAGGATAATTATAACCCCATAGTTCTGTACAATAAATCAGTATCTTCAGAGGTAATATTTCTTGTAGATTAAATGAGCCCATGTATATGAAAGCTCATTGTAAAGTTCAATATCAATTGTAGTTTTCATTGTTATTAGTATCTGGCTATAATATAGAATATATAAATAACATATTTGAATAGAATTTTCACAAACAGTATTTTTCATCATTCTCAACAAATACTTACTGAATACTAATTGTGTGCTAAAAAAGGTAGGCAATATCAACATTTTAGAAAAGGATAAACTGAAGTTCACAGAGCCTATGATTTGTCATATAACTTGGAGACTCTGAGACCTTTGATTCCTAATTCATTACAAACCTTGCTGCCCCCAAGGGTTAAAATGACCAAGAATCATGGTTGCAAAGCCCTTCATCTTCATTAGCTATTAAATCTGATTATTTAAATCCTTTAAGGAAATGATCCCTCAGCAATATCTTTATTTGAACATATTGTTAGGTTCCCTATCATTCTTTAGAAGGTCCTTCAATATAAGCTGATATAAAAGTTTCACCATTTATATTTCTATCTGTGCAGTGGCATTTTAATTGCTGTTACTTGGAGTTCTCATGAACCATGCTACCAAACACACATACAATGCTTGGGTTTACATTATTGGCTAACCTTTATTGAGTGCACATTGTGTGTTAGGTGTGGTGCTAAGCATTATGCAGACACACTCTTATTTAATCCTTATCCTTCCTCCTTTGTTCACACAGAAACTAAGGCTCAGAACTGTTAAATAACTTGTTCAAAGCCACAGGCAGAAATATAAATGGCCTTACAATCCTTATAGAAGGGTATTTAAGGTTCATGAAAATCAGAGGCTGAACCAACAGACTTCCATGATTCCTACCTGAAGAGCCAGTAGGGTATGGAACAAATGCTGAACTAAGAATAAGAGAGACAGGGCTGGGTCCATATCCAGTGTTGTTTACCACCCAAGCCTAACCACCCTGCTACAGGGAGACACAGCTCAGGTAAGTTTGTAACAACTTGACTCCCCACCCAGCCAATTATGGAACGAAATCCTGGATCATGATCATCATACTGGCTAAAATGTACTGTGTTGAACACCTTAAAAGTGCTTTAATAGTCATAGATTCAGGAACATTTGTAGATTTTTAAGTCTGTTGATAAAGAACAACTAGGTGCCCCTCCAGATAAAAGTCTTGTCTTTTTTAAAAGGAACTTTTGCTAAGAGAAATCAAAAGTTCAGGTTACTGAGTATTATTTTGCTGTTGGATTCAGGATATTGCAAAGCTGGTATTTAAGTTTTAAACTAACTTTTTTTTTCTGTAGATGTGTATAGGGTAAAATAATTCATTCACCCCAAAATTCCTATAGCATGCCAGATAGTGTGCTAGGTATTGCTGTATAGCTACCAGGGTGTAAGTACTCACGAAGTGTCAGCTCTGCCAGAGTGTGAGGAAAAGGGAAGCAATCTTTACCAAACTGGCCTAATTTTACCTCTCTGGGATTCATTTCTCATTTTGTAAATGAGGGGGTTGGATATCTAGGTCTTAATGGTTTGTTTTATAATTTTTTGACTTTGTGTGACGGTTTCTCCTCCTCATCTGGCACTATTTAATACCATGACAAAATATTAACCTCATACTATTCCAGCTTTGCAATTCATTAATTATTTCAACAGATGTTTATTGAACTACTAGGCTGCCATCGGGCTGACGTTGAGAACAATGAAAGCAAGGGTCCTCTGCTGGTGAAGCTTAGAGTCCAAAGGGCTAACACAATAAAAAACTTAAATAATTAAAAATATAGATGCATAAAAGCAATCATTTACAAAGATAAATAACTATAGGTTAGAAAGATGCTAAGTCATAGAATGAAGCAAATAGGCTCTCTCAATTACAAAAAACTGATGACCTATCGAGGTCACTAGATTTAAAAAGGGGAAAAACATGGTAATACCTTACAACAAACGAAGGAAATGAATAGACCTTACTTGTGAAGAAAATTGTATTGTGATTGGTCTACCCTGTATCTTCTCCCTAGAGTGGAGGCTTCTCAAAACAGAGCAGCGAGGGAAACTCACTTTTTTTTTCTTTTTTTTTTGTAAGTCAAGCAAAAAGACAACATGCAAAGCGAACTTGGAGTCAGGCAGGGACATCACCAATATCTCTGGCCGTTTCTTTTTGAGTCTTGGGAGGCTTCCCCTCGCAGAGGGGTTCTGGATTACAGGAAACTAACATCGGGAGCCTCAAGGGAGATTGCATTTCAATTGCTCCTGCCCCGTGGCGGGGTCCCGGGAGGAGGAGGTCAAGGTGGCCTAGCGAGAGGCAGCTCCGGGGAGGCTCTGCGAAGGGCAGGGCGGAGGACAGCGCTAAGAGGGGAGGAGAGGGAGGCAGGGGGCGCGCGTGCGGGCGCCGAGGGGAGGGGGTGGGAAGCCTCGCCGCCCGGGAGCCGCACGGCGCCCAGGTGGCCCTTTCCCGCTCAGGTGAGCTCCTCCCGCGCCTCCCATTGGCTGCGGCGCGCGGCGCTGGGCGGGCGACGCAGCCCGGTCTAGTTCAGGGTCTAGGGCGGCGCGTCACTTCCGGTAGCGCGGAGCTTGTAAAACACCCTGGAGAGAAAATGGCGGCGGCGGCGGCTTCGGCGCCTCAGCAGCTCTCGGACGAGGAGCTTTTCTCTCAGCTCCGCCGTTACGGCCTGTCTCCCGGCCCCGTGACGGAGAGCACCCGCCCGGTCTACCTCAAGAAGCTGAAGAAGCTTCGAGAGGAAGAGCAGCAGCAACAGCAGCACCGGTCCGGGGGCCGCGGCCACAAGACGCGGAACAGTAATAACAATAACACGGCA